TAATATATTGATAGAATTATAAGTGGCGTCGCGTGGGTTGCAGACAAGGTGGTGAATAATTGGAAAGTGAGCAAATGGGCAATAGGTTTAGTAGCTACTATTAAGATTTCTACTGAAAGTCAATTAGAATCTGCTGGATATCCCGTAATCTATCGCTATTTACAACTCTTTCTAGATGAAACCGCATAAAAGCTACAATAAAGTAAAATTATACTAACAAATCGCTATACTCACAATCTGAGAAGATTTAAAGATTTTTAATTACATGTACTTCGTGCAGCACCAGGACTTGCTACACAATAGAGGGAAACAACAGTTTCGATACATGTACACATTCTTCATTGAGTTGCCGTAAACTCTACTGTAGTAGACCGGCTCGCGGAAACTTGGATCACACTTTTAGCTTGCACCAAATTGGTGTTGCGAAGAGTAGTTTCATGCACCTTTCTTCTTGTGCGGGAAGAACGATGCCTAGATTTCTCTACAGTGACAAAAATAACTTTGGTGAAAATATTTTGCTTGCTCCCAGCAGACACTACCGCAAGCGCTGCGACAGGCATAAACCATCCTCGCCGTCTGTCTCTTCACTGGCGCAAGGATGTAGCCCAGGCTAGTTGGCCTAATGTAGATCTAGAGCACTAACTGGTTTAGAACAATTAGATAAAAAAAACCGGGGAGGCCAGGGTTAGGTGGAGCGCTTGCACCAATTGCACCAATGGCGCCCCGCCACTTACAATTATTATTAATATTATTGTCATTGTTCTGGGGTGTTATCACGATATTCTGCTCATATTTGGACCTATCGGCGAAGGACACAGCGATCGGAGATGTAGTCAGTTATTTCAAGTCTGTACAGGATAGTAATAAAATTCATAGAGCGTCAAAGAGTCAAACGGCTTGGACATCTAACCAGAATGCCCCTAGAAACAACTAGCGGCTAGAGCTTACAACACTCGAGAATCTGGCTTCAAAACAAGAGGAAGACCAAGAAAGACCTGGCTGGATGTGGTGAAAAAGGTCCTGGAAGAACATATCTATCACAGACGCTACACACCTAGCACAGGAACAAAACTTGCACCTCCCCTTGGCATCCTAAGGATACCAGAGAAAGGAAAAAGTAAGGAAAGTAAAAGTATACAGGATAGAATAGACGTAAGGGAGTGGGTGGTTGGTGGGTGCTCCTTCTTTCCAGTCAAACATCTTTCGTCCTTTCCTCTCCTCTTTCTTTTTGTGATTGTTACTCTCTTGTAATACCTCTAATCTTTGGCACTTTTTTGCCTTATTGTGTTGCAAGTGCCGTAAAATGCTTACTAAAGCTAAAAAAAACCCCCAACTACAACAAAAGGCTCTTGAACATCTAGCTCACAATAGTAAAGAAAAAACTGAAGACAAAGGAGCCAGTGGTAGACCCAGAAAAGCTTGCTTAGAAGCTTAAACAGATGGGGTGATGGGGAAAGATCAGGGTAATAATAGAATGTTTTTAAAGCAATCATACAAAGGAATACATGACAAAACATGATGGCAAATTATGTCTGTAGCAGATCTGGCACTTGATGATGATGGTATATAACAGGGCTCTTAACGAATACACTCAATTTTGGAGTGGATTTTTAATGGAGGTGCTTTTAACACCCAATTGAGACAACCCAGATTATTAAGGAGGCGGGCTTCCGACCTTGCCTGTCAGGGCCAACTCGAGGGATACAAACAACACCCCAGCAGAAAGACCGACTTACTTAATAAAAAAATATCTTCCCTTCTCGGAAATCAAAATCGGGTTCACTGCATGCATGCGACAGCGAAGGGCCTAATCTCTACACCACAGACGCCGATGATGGCAATAATGATGATAGTAATGATACCCGGGGTGTGAATAAATATGTGAGGTGATATGGTAAAATCAGACGCTCGTCAAAATAATGAAATCAAAGAAACAGGCATTTTAAACCCAGGTTGGCAACTTTTATCAATTTTTTGGTTTTTGGCTCAACACCTTTTATCTCCATTTAAAAAACCATTTCTGTGTTAACATTTCTTAAAAACGTTAATTAAAGGCACACGTAAACATTCAATTACCAAGGACTATCAGATTAGGGTTGCCATTTTCTCGCTAATCTTACCAATGAAACCAGGCGACCCCAATCTCCTTCAATCGCAAATATCTCAGCTTCTCTCCAAGATAATTCCAAATTTATTCCATTGAAAGCATGGCAGATAAATCAGCTTTCAGATGATACCAATAACTAAACATGCAAAAAAATTGACGAGCGCTTCATTCCACCGCGTCGTGACACATGTTGAAGCGGACCAACTGGCGATGTTTTTACCAGGATGAGGTGAGGTGGTAGGGGGCACTGCCACTGCCACGTCATTAAATGCCCTAACAGTCCGCTGACGGGAGCACCAAGCGGAAAGGTCAGCATTAAGTCCTAGCCATAGGTGGGATCCTGTAACAATAATTCCTCCCTGTACTCCCAGGGCAGGTCCTAGGACCTGGAGCTGGAGTGCTGAAATCGAAGGAAATGGGCCGCAAGGCGCACTGTATAGAACCACAATACCGCGTAATACTGCAAAAATGTAATCTGTGAGAAAAATAAAGTGCCTTTCCCGAGTACACAATATCGACCTCCTGAAAGAATCCAAGACCTTACAGTTGCAAGTCTGAGAGCCTAATCACTAGGCCACAGATGCCACAGGACAGAGCCCTTACAATTAACTGTAGTCTGATTAAGAAATCTCAAGAACTCAAGCTCCAAGAGGAATGTACACTGTAGTTTGAATAGACCAATCTCAAGAGCTGGAACTCTGAGAGAAGTTGATTTTTTGGATAAGGGTTACACCATTTAGTCGTTGTTATTGTTGCTGTTGTTGTTGTTGTTGTTGTTGTTGTTGTTGTTGTTGTTGTTGTTGTTGTTATTGTTGTTGTTGAGCTTGTCATTGCTATTGCTGTCGTTGGAATGGACATTGAAGTTGTCGTTGTTGGAGTTTTGTTGTTGTTGTTATTGTTGTTGTTGTTGTTGTTGCTGTTGTTGCTGTTGTTGCTGTTGTTGTTGAACTTTCCTGTGTTATTGTTGTCATTAGCGTGAATATCGAAGCTATTGTTGCTGCTGTTTCTGCCATTACTAATGATGGCGATGATGATGATGATTCCAAATACAACACATCTTCCTTTACCTCAAAACAACCTCTCACAAACCCCCCAGAACCACCCCTGCAAGAAACCTAGGTGCAAAACATGCCCTTACATGACAGAAACCAACTTTGTAGAGGGACCTCTTTTCAAAAAGTTCCTTACAGATAACATCAACTGCGAAACTCAAAATGTAATTTACTTAATAACATGCAAAATATGCTCTGCCCAATATGTAGGACAAACCACCATCACTCTTAGGGCCAGATTTAACAGATTTGTACTCAGTACAAAACCACTCATGCACCCCTGTCTGCCAACATTTCAATAGCCCTGGCCACATCTGAACCACTGATATTCAGCTTCAGAGTATAGAGATTGTAAAAAAAAACTACCAAAGAAGATCTCAACCTTAAAGAATCAAAGTGGATGACGAACATCAAACCCTCTCTGGCCTCAATATTGATGAACCCCATTTCAAAGAACTAAAATTTACAACGTAACCACCCAAGCCGCTGCCCAACTTTCCCCCCCTCAACTCCTACTCACCCCTCCCTCCCAACTGAGGTCAACATACCCCCCTCCCTTCCTTTCTCCCCCACCATGCACCTCAACTCTTTATCTGACGGCGCCTTTCAAAATCATGGCACTACAGTTTCACCCTACCACCCACCCCACCCCAACCCCTGCATCTCCTTACAGCCTATCTCCCCACCCTCCTTCCTCTTACCCGACATAGTACATTTCCCCTACTTGTAAACCACCCCCTGTCACTCCCTCATGCAGAGGAAGTGTCTGATCGCCAGGATATCTTCTTTCAACGCCTATCCCCCGATCTTTGCCAATAGAGATCCTTCTACCTCT